TATCTCAGATTCTCCAGCATCTGCAGTTCCTACTATCTCTGAGGCATCTTACTCTCTGTGTTTTTTGTCTTTGCTTACCCCACCCATGTCTCTCCGAACAATGTACCTTGATTGCAACTGTTCCAGCTCTTCTTTAAAAATAGACCATTGTTTTGTCTGCTACTCTTTAATGCCAATTTACCTGGGGCAGATCCGTTCTCACCATACAGAAATTGGCTCTACTCCAATTCAGCATTTAGACTCTAAATTACACATTGTTCCTTTCCGTGGCCAATTTAATCTTGTGATACAATGATCACTGTTTCCTAAACATTCCCTGACTGACACTTGATCCAGTTGACCCAACTCATTCCCTTAAACCAGATTCCACAATGGCCTCCTAGCTCATTGGACCAGGAAAACACAGATCAAGGAAATTTCCATGAAAGCACTTCCAAAATGCTTCTCCATCTCTGCTCTTTATACTGCTAGTATATCCCAGCATGTAGCTGGATTATTAAAGCCCCTATTCTCAATATTCTTTAGTTTGTTTGTATCTCTGTATAATTTAGCTGCAAATTTATTCCCCTGTAACTTCTGAACTCTAGAATACACCCAGTATTACACCTTTATTGTTTCTTTGCTCTGAGTAGGTTCAGAAGTTCTGAGGAAGGTTCACTCAACCTGAAATATTAAACTCTGATTTCTCTCTATGACTCTATGGCTCTCCGCAGATGCTGCCAAACCTGCGGAGCTTTTCTAACAATTTCTGTTTTTGTTTCTAATTTACAGCATCTGCAGTTCTTTTGGTTTTTGCTTAGTTTAATGCTATCTGTCTCTCTGAATTTTTTGCAGACCTTGTTTCTTCTTTCTAATGTTACATGCTATTTCCCATCCTCTGCCAATCAGCTAAGCATCCCATGAGGACATTGGTCCTAGCTTTGTTATGGTGCAACCTGTCAGCCTGTACAGGTCCCATCTTCCCAAGAACTATCCCCAGAGATGTAGGAATCCCTCATTTCTGCACCATCTCTCCAACCACACATTTCTCTGTGCTTTTACTTCTGTACCATCTAATGCTTGGCATTGGAGGTAATCTGGAGATTCATGTCTTTGAGGTCCTGAATGATAGTCTCCATGCCAGCCCACAAAGGTCTGCCTACAAGACTTCACCCCTCCTTCAACCTGTGCCCACTAATTTGGATCATGACCTCTGCTTGTTCACTTTTCCCCTTCCAAGTGCCCTGTAGCCACTCAGTATATCCTTGCCTCTGGCACAGGGGAGACAACATACCTTTCTGGATTCATATCTGGAGAAACAGCTATTTCCTCTAATGAATATTCTGTCACTACTGCACTTGTCATGCCAAGGAACCATCTCTCTTACATGAAAGAGCGAATTGCCTTCTGTGCACTCAGTAGCTGATTGTCTTCCGGTCACCTAATCCAGCTCTGCCTGCCCATTCTAAGTGATCGCTCTCTAACCTCACGTAACATAGGGCAAGGGAAGGTGGACGAGTCGATACAGTGTGGAGCTGGAGGAACACAGCAGGTCAAGCAGTATCAGGGACCCTTCATCAGATCATGTGTGCAGTTCTTGCTATCTCCAAGGGAAGGAGGACATTGGGAGTATGGTAGTGAATGTATGCAGTATTTGATTACTTTAGTGATGAAGTTTGGCCCTCAGCGCAGCACTGTAATGATTTATCTTCAGCTCAGTCTGTGCGGCGAGGAACGCGCTTTGCACGTCTGTGGGTAAAGCCGAACGCTGGATTTGCAACGTTGCAGTGCCGTGAGCGGCCAGGGCGGGGAGACACTGGGTGGCTCCAGGTTAGCTTCCCTGATTTTGGGCTGTTCCTCCGGGAAGGCTGTGCTCGGCTCCACTCCCACAAACAGGAACAGGTGGCGGCAGGAAGAGGCGCCGTGTACAAGCCGAGCGGGGCCGCTCGCACCACCATGAAACAGAGCATTTCATCGCACGGGGCGGAATAAAAGAAAGATACAATCTTGCAGCCGGTAGCGGTGAGAGAGGAAAGGAAAGAGCAACAACCGCTTTCCCTTTCTTTATTTTGGGCTTGAGCCGACGAGACCCTTGTGCAACAGAAGCTGCGCACTGTTGTTACCGAGACGAGTAATGAAAGTGACCGTCTGCTTCGCGAGGACCAGGGTGGTTGTTCCTTGTGGAAATGGGGCCATCACGGTGCACAGCCTGATCCAGCAGGCGGTGACCAGGTACCGCCGAGCCATCGCCAAGGTGAGTGAGTGAGTGAAGGCAAAATAAGGGGAGCGGAGTGGCGGCGGACACAATGTATCCAGAGACCAGCCAGGAGCAACATGGCGCTTCCTGATATTCACATTGGATACAAGCTTTCAGCTCCCCTGTGCTTAACGGAGGGAGGGTGAGTGCAGAAAGAGAAAGGAGGAAAAAAATAAAGTACAAAAACCGCGACCATAAAGTTAAAGCTTTTCTCACGGCCTCCTCCCCTCCCTTTTCTCCACCAAGTTTGAAATTTTTTTTTATTATTAAAAAAGTTTTTCGTAACTTTATCCCCCGGCGGACTTGGGTGTATTTTTCTCCTCTCTCTCAATTTATTTTCTTTCCCCTCCCCCGGCGGGGGAAAAAAAAACAAACTGGTGTGAGGTGAAATGTGGCGGCTGAGGACTGGGAGAAGAAGGTGACTCAACTCCAGCCCGAGGCTTTCCCAAACACGGAGGCCTCGGACTCCTTTCCTGGGAAATATTTGACAAGAATTTGGGTTTCACGTTTTCGAACGATCGATTAAATACCGTAGATGAGTCGCTGATTACTGACGATACCGAAATACGAATAGGAATAGAAGCGTTATTTCCCCCTCTCTCACTTCCAGTCAGTCTTGTCAGTGAGATGATTGCATTAGTAGGATCAGAATTCATTGGCTAATAACGCTGTTTTCGCATTAAGCAACAAAAGAAATGAATTTCTGCTTGAGATGGACACACTGCTCCCCTCTAACTGGTATCTAATTTACAGTCATCTCATTATAGTAAATTAAGTATCTTGTAACTTTAAAATTAACTCTAAATGTTTTCAGGCTAGTCTGTTGTGTAACTAAAACAGGGTTTACTTTCTCAGAAAAGTGTTAAAATTAGTTGGAAAGTTTGGGCAATGGACCAAAGTAGGTAAATGGAAAATATAACTAAACTACATGGACCTTCAATACTGATCAATTGTTTAAGTTAATATACTGTTAGTGTGAACTATAATTATTTAAAAGTGCATTAACTTTTTTTATTCTTTGCATAGTTAGCACAAACAAATGGAAGTGTAATTTTCACAAGCCTGTCAATTATTTTGAAGCGCTGTGAACAGTTGTGACCTTGAAATTCCTGCTACGTGCATCTTTTAACACTTAACCAAAAGCAAAATTAGATATTTAAGGACAGTGCCTTTTCATTTACCACAGTTTTTTCTATATATAATTTGGTATTTGGGTGAGTAGAATTGTATTCCAACTCTAGTTAAACTGAAAGTGGAGGTTTGTGTTGAATTGGACAATTGGTGGCAGAAAGTGTATTGCCTACTTCATGAATGGACTAACTTTTTAATCAATAGTTGAGATGTATGGGAAATATAAGGTTAGGTATTAGTGGTAGTCTGTTGTAAATGTATTACTTCACAGTGCCACAAAACTGCTGGCTAAATATTTAGCATTCCTTGATTATAATTATAGTGATTAATTTTCTGTATGTTTCTGTGTAGTCAGAATTTGAAAATGTGTGTTTACTACGCAAGAAACATGCTAAAATATTCTAATAACTGGCTAAATAGTTTGCTTGAGGTATACTTTGGATTGATTTTGAAAGAATGTGATGACATATCCTTTGTGTTACAATCCTTGCCACCCAAGCAGCAAGTTTTGTAATGAGTGGATAATTTTTGATGACTTTTCATAAGCTTAATTTTAAATGTTATTCATTAACCTTAGTTGCATGTTTAATGTCTAGTTTTCAATTGACCTTGCACTGGATACAGCCTTAACAAATTCCTGTGAAAAAAATTCTCATCTAAAGCAAGTCATTCATCACCTGAGAAATTGTTGGTTGCTATTTAGGTCAAAGAAAAAGTTTTAATACTGATACAGGTGGGAAAGCAGGAAATTAAATGCAGGATTTGATCTGTAAATGCATTAAGAATGAAAGCGAGGTATTCATGAATTGAGTGGAATAATGGATCTCATATTTATATACAGACAACACTTGAACAGGTCTTTGAGGATGTCACAAAACACTTGATGCATGTTGAATTACTTCTCAACTGCAGTTATTCTTAATATGCAGAGAGGAGTGACAGTTTCTTTGCACACAGCACAATCTCAAACAGTGATGAGATGAATGTTCGGTTATTTTATTTTGAATGATCTTCACTAAAGAAAAGCTGTTGAACAATTGAGGAAACCTTGCTGTTCTTGTTTGAATACACAGTCTTAATACTTGGTTTTCTGTGCCACGTGAAGATAAGCACCTCTGACAGTGCTGTGTTCTTTCAGTAATAGGCTGAGGTGTTGATCTAGATGATGTGCAAGTGGCCTGCTCACAAGCATCTAATTCAAGATCTTAGTCCACACACAGCACCTTCCAATCCACAACCTCTGTCATTTAGAAGGACAAGCGCAGCAGGCATACAGAGTAACTACTAAGTTTCTTCACCAAACCACACATGATCCCAAATTGCAACAGTATTGCTGCTCTTTCACTGTTGGCTGAAACAGCTGGAGCTCCTTCCGAACAACGCTGTGGATCGAGTAGTTTGTGAAGGTGTCCATCATCATCATCTTTGGACTTCTATTAGGGACTGTGAATGAATTGTCAAAAAACAAGTATTGGAAGCCAATAAAATGGCACAGTAGTGATTGACAGGGATGATATATCAAAAATGAAAGGATGTAGCTGAATTGAAATACCTAAAACAAATAACAGTATATAATTTTATGATGCTTTGAATGTGTAAATTATTTAAATTATTTTCACTGGTAAGCAGCAAACATAATTTCTAAGATGAGTACAAGCATTAAAACATGAAGAATTACAAACGACTTACAGCACAGAAACTTGGACCAACTGCTTCACAACAGTGTATATGCTGCGCATGAATCTCCTCCCATTTTGCTTGATCTAGCCCTATCATCATTTCCTTCGAAATATTAATATTTTCAGATGATTTGAATACAAGTCTAAACATTTGAGAGAATTGGAGTAAGCTTTAGAAAAGAAACGAAAATCATTCAAGTGCAGCTTGACACCTTTGTGTCCAGCTCCACACGCATTCAGGCAATGCTCCTGCAATATCAACCATGATAGACTGGGTGCTACACCCAGATTGTTGAAAATGTCTCCTCTGGGTCCTGTTTCCTCAGTTCTCAAATGTCTGATGTTATGGGGAGGATGAAGAAAATGCTGCAAAGGCATTCTGAAGCTGTTGTTGAAGCACACCTATATTGACATTAATGACTGGGAGGAACTTGCTAACGAATCAAGGTGGTGCTGGAAATTCCACTTCAGTATCAATATAGAGACCCAGGCTGAAGTTGCTTGGAATTTGATTTGATTTAATATTGTCACGTGTACCGAAAAACAGTGGTGTTTTGCATACTAACCAGATAAATTGTACCTTACCTAATTACGTCAGTGCAATAGAACAGAATGCAGAATATAGTGTTACAACTACAGAGAATGTGCAGAGAAACATCAACTCTAATATGAGAGGTTCATTCATAAGTATGATAACAGCTGGAAGAAGCAGTTATTGAATCTGTTCGTATGCGTATTCAAACTTCTATATCTTCTGCATGAAGGAAGACGGTGGGAAGGGTCTTTGATTAGGTTGGTTGCTTTCTCGAGGCAGTGGGAAGTAATTCAGTAAATGGAGGGAAGGCTGGATTTTGTGATGAACTGCACTGCCTTCATTTGTAATTTCTTGTAGTCTTGGACAGAGCAGTTGCCATACCAAGCTGTGATGCATTTGGATAGGTCACTTTTTCTGTGGTGCATCTATAAAAGTTGGTAAGAGTCATTGTGGACATGCCAAATTTCCTTAGTCTTCTGAGGAAGTAGATGCATTGGTGTGCCTTCTTGACTGTAGCATCAGGGATAGGGCAGTGTAGATTGGTGATATTTACTTCTGGAAAATTGAAGCTCTTGATCACCTCTGCACCATTGCAGACAAGGATGTGCCCCCTACTCTGCTTCCTGAAGTCAATGACCAGGTCTTTCATTTTGTTAGTGTTGAGGGAGAGATTGTTGTCTTTACACCGTGCCAGCAAGCTGTCTTTCTCTTTCCTATACTCTGTCTCATTGTTTGAGATCCATCCCACTACAATGGTCTCATCAGCAAATTTATAAACGTAAGTAGAGGTGAATTTGGCCTTATAGTTGTGAGCGTATAAGGTGCTAAGTATGCAGCCTTGCGGTGTTGAGGATTATTGTGGAGGAGGTGTTAGAAACATAGGTCCAGGAGTAGGCCATTCAGCCCTTTGAGCCTGCACCACCATTCAATATGTTCATGGCTGATCGTGCAATTTCAATATCCAGCTACTGCTTTCTCTCCATACCCCTTGATCCCGTTAGCTACAGGGCCATGTCCAGCTCCCTCTTGAATATATCTAACAAACTGGTCCCAACAGCTTTCTGTGGGAGAGAATTCTACACGTTCACAAATTCTTCCTCGTCTCAGTCCTGAATGGCTTACCCCTTAATCTTAGATTGTGACCGCTAGTTCTGGACTTCCCCAACATCGGGGACTTTCTTCCCACAGCTAGCCTGTCCAGTCCCAGCAGGATTTTATATGTTTGAGATTTCCCCAAACCTCCACCCCCCCACCCATTCTGCTAAATTCCAGCGAGTACAAGCCCACTCGATCCAGCCTTTCTTCATATGCCAGTACTGTCATCCTGGGAATCAGTCTGGTGAACTTTTGCTAGACTCCCTCAATAGCAGGAATGTCCTTCCCCAGACTAGGAGACCAAAACTGCACAAAATACTCCAGCTGTGTGGCCTGACCACGATCCTGTATAACTGCAGCAAGACGTCCCTATTCCATACTCAAATCTTCTCACTATGAAGGCCAGCATGCCATTAGCTTTACTCACTGCCTGCTGCACCTGCATGCCATCCTTCTGTGACTGTACCACCATGACACCCAGGTCTTGTTGCACCTCACTTTTTCCTAAATTGCCACCATTCAGTCAATAATCTGCCTTCCTGTTTTTGTGACCAAGA